TAACACAAGTGCTGTGGTTAATCTCTTCCCATCCACCCCCTCGCCCCCGCCTACCCTCTGGGTCTCGACAGTCTGTCCCATGCTGGTGTCTGGCTTCCTACTGCGCATCATGCTTCCAAGGCCGTGTGCACTGTAGCAAACACCAGCCCTTCCCTCCTTTTCATGGCTGCGTACTATTCCGTGTGGGGATGGACGTGTTTTGTTTATCCACCTGACTGTCCAGGCGTGTGCGTGTATGCGCGTGCATGTGAGTGTGTGTGTGTGCTAGTTCCATCTTTTGGCTATTATGAATAATGCTGTGAACATCTGTGTACAAGTTTTTTTTTTTAATATGTTTTATTGATTTTTTACAGAGAGGAAGGGAGAGAGATAGAGAGTTAGAAACATGGATGAGAAACATCGATCAGCTGCCTCCTGCACACCCCCCACTGGGGATGCGCCCGCAACCAAGGTACATGCCCTTGACTGGAATCGAACCCGGGACCTTTCAGTCTGCAGGCCGATGCTCTATCCGCTGAGCCAAACCGGTTAGGGCATGTTTTTTTAAAAGTATTTTTTTTTTTACTGAGTTCAGGGAGGAAGGGAGAGGGAGGGGGAGATAGAACATCGATGAGAAAGAATCATCGATTGGCTACCTCCTGCACGTCCCACCCTGAGGATCAAGCCCGCAACCCAGGCCTGTGCCCTGACCAGGAATTGAACTGTTTTCTCCTGGCTCATACAGAGGTCGACGTTCAACCACTGAGCCACACTGGCTGGGCTGTGTACAAGTTTTTGTGTGTGTGGTCATGTTTCCATTTCTTTTGCTTTGATATCCGGGAGTGGAATTGCTGGGTCACATGGTTTAGCTTTCTTTGTAAATATTTTTTAATGACTTCAGAGAGAGAGAGAGGAAGGGAGAGGGAGAGAGAGAAAAACATCGATCAGTTGCTTCCCATACACACCCCGACTAGGAACCAAAACCGCAACCCGGGCATGTGCCCTGACGGGGAATGGAACACAGGACAGCGCCCAGCCCACTGAGCCACACAGGCCAGGGCCGTGGGTCAGCTTTGTGAGGTGCTGTCACCTGTTTGCCACAGTGGCTGCCGTTTGCGTGCCCACCATCCTGTTCAGGGTTCATTTCTCACCTGTGTCCCGTGAGACTGTTTAAACCAGCGGTTCTCAACCTGTGGGCTGTGACTCCTTTGGCGGTCGAACGACCCTTTCACAGGGGTTGCCTAAGACCATCCTGCATATCAGATATTTACATGACGATTCATAGCAGTAGCAACATTACAGTGATGAAGTAGCAACAAAAATAATTTTATGGTTGGGTCACAACATGAGGAACTGTATTTAAAGGGCCAGGAGGTTGAGAACCACTGCTTTAAACGTTCTTCTGTCCGCGGGGCACACCCCCTGGGACTCACCCGAAATGGCTGTCTGAGGCCAGGCCCCCAGTTCGCCGCAGCAGGTGCCTTTGTTCCCGTTAGCAGCAGATGGTGGACACTGCGTTTGCACTGGGTTTCATTTGTAATTAATTAGGTGGAATGTTTGCGTGATTCCCCATCAGGTCTACGGAATAAGATATAACCAGAGAATTCAGTCTCTCCCCTCATTCGCGCCCTCTCCTGAAGTAACAGGTTTACATTTTTATAGCTTCTCCTAAAACTTTAAAAATAGAAGCAATGGTGCATGTGAGCCCACACCGCCCACACACATGCTTCCCCTCCTGTTCTTGGCAAAGGCCTCGTCCTGCACACGCTCCTCTCGCCTTGCGGGCCTGGCCGAGCCTGGAGGCTGCCCATGGTAGCTTCTAGACGTGCTCCCACTGTCACTTTCGGCCGCCTGGGGCCCGCTGTGCGGCTGGGCCCGCGTCACTCACGCCAGCTGCTGGCCTTGGGGCGGCCCCGGACTTGGCTCCCAGGAGCGAGCGGTCCCTCTGTGATGAGGCCACTTGGGAGATGGCGCCCGCTGCCTCAGCCATGGCCAGCGGGACGAATTTTTGTCCACCACCGACTGGACGGCTCTTCCTCGGGGAGAGTGGATCGGTAAGTGCATCGCTTTTCTGCCAGGCTGATCGGAAAACATCACGCATTCTCTGACGGGCTCCGTGGACTTCGGTGACTGACCTGCACCCACTCTTTTGCTGTGTGTTCAGGTGACAGCCAGAGGACCCCTGTGCTGTCTGGCGCCCCCTCCTGTCTTCCTGACGTGTCCTGCGTGGACACGGCTCATTCACGACGCACCTCAGCCCCCAGGCCTCATCAGCTCAGTGCCCATGCCGAAGCTGGGAAAGGAGGAGAACCCGCGGAGAGCCCCATGGAGGCCTCGGGAGACGCCCCATCCGCCGGGGTGTCCATAGGTGCAGGCGTCCGAGGGAGGAAGACTGGTAGGCGGCCAGCTCTGCGTGTGGGTCAGGACCTTGGACAGCGGCGCCCGGGCCCAGCACTGCGTCGGGGGAGCTGGGAATCCGGCCAGCAGGTGGCGCTGTCGCACCCACAGGACCCGGCTGATTTCTGGGCGGCCGAGCGAGGCTGGGGAGACCCACCCAGCGACCAGGCGGGGCGCCGACCTCAGGGCGCCAGATGGAACACGGGGCATTGGGAAGACAAGCATGAGATCAAGCAGCCTGCTGCCCAGCCACAGGCAGGAAGTTCACAACATTCCGACGGCGAGACGCCTGGACCTGGTTGGCATTAGGTGATGGCAGCGGCCCGGGGCGGTGCAGCTGGTCAC